CAGAGGGAAAAGTTGATCCACGTGATCATATTCTTAGCCGTGTGCGGCGCCCCCTGCCACCATAGTCCTCGATAATATTGTAGCGATGCTTAGGCGAAGCCCTGCGACAGTATTACATCAAGATCGTCACCACGTCGTCGTGCTGACGGAACTCTTCCCCGACACTTTGCTGGATCGGAGTCCGGGGATCGTCATCGAGCTGAACGTGTGCTAGAACTCAGAGGTGTTGTAGTTTCGGTGCTTGATCGGTCGGGCTGTGGAGACGTACGACTACATCAACCAAACGCTTCCGTTGTCGATCTACAAGGATACATAGATCACACTCTCCCCTCTCGTTGCTATGCATCACCATGATCTTGCGTGTGCGTAGGAATTTTTTTGAAATTACTATGTTCCCCAACAGATTCATGGTCAACGCTTCCAATCAATGATGACAGATGTTGTCGTTAGATGTCCAACGCTTCATTATCCATGTTTTAACCTGGGGCGCTTAGTGCATGACCATCATATGAAACCGATTGCAGCCCTGGTGATCACACTTCCATTATCTCACTAACCATATCATTATGACAATCTTAATGCTCGATCATGTGTACCTTTGTGATGTCGAGAGTCGTGATGCTACCATAAAAAGGAGTCGTGATGGAGATTTGGTGAAGGTTAAGAGAAGAAGAAACACGATGTGTGGAGTCAGAGACAGTTTGAGACGTAGGAGGAATCGATGCCTTGTCTTGTTCAAGGTTGGGCGTTTGATAAGGAAGCCTGCACTGGATGAAGGGGTTGGTCGGTTCCGTAGGACATGTTCGCCTTTTTCTGTTATATATATGTTTGGGTGCTTTGTATCACTACTTGATCTGGCTCCTCTCGGTAATTTATTCACACAAATCAAAGATAAGCTAGGGACCCAGTTTATTCACGCACAAGTGTTGTACGTGCCCCGAGAATGTAACATGCTAGCACACATGTTGGTCACTATGGGTGCTGGGCTAGCTCAAGGTGAGCGACGTGAGTGGTTTCATAGCTATCCGGTGGATGTAACCCGTGATGTAACCGGCGTTTCAGCTGTGATTTAAATGGAATACGTGTGTTCCATCTAAAAAAATCTAAGGGCTTTTTCACAAAAAAGCTCCTGGACTGGATGAAGAATATCAAAGGAATGTGTAGTGCGGCTCAAAAATATATGTGGTGTTGAAAGAGTGACGTGAGGATTTGACATTCATTTGGATGCAGTCTTAAACAACATGAGCATTTGCATTTTCATTTGTAGTAGAATAACAAGTCAATAGACTATTGCCTTTATTTATAGATTCTCTTGTTCCGTGGACTACAAATGCCATTCTCTGTTTCCAGAAATGATTACTAATATTTCAGTAGATCTGTAGATGGCAATGTTTCATTTCGGTTTCAGTTTGATTTATGCAATGTATCATCTTGTCCCGCTTTTTAAAACATAATTTGACATTACATGATGAGGGGTTAATATTTACAAAGTCTATTACTAACAGAAGATCCTTTTCCTAACAGAAGAGACCATGTTACTCTATATCCTGCTGTTTTGCTTCATGTCCTTACAAATTCTACATCATGTTAATGTTGGTAATGTTGTTTTTCTTTTACAGATTTTATAGGTGTAGAAAGAGTTTGTGCGAGAGACCGAGAGTGCAAGAGCGCCGGTGGTACAAGTTGGACGCATGGAAGATTTCAGCTCGTAATATTTGCTTCGAATTGTACGCAAAGGTTCTTTATTTTGTTAACCTGAATAGATATTCCAGGGAATGTCATTCCATTTTTATATGATCATACGCCATTCTTCTACTGCTGCAGTGCATCTCTTATAAGCGACACTGATTAAACTGTTATGAGCATCCTTTACTTTGCTGCAGTTTTCCTTGTGAAATGCTTTCCCTATAAAGAATTTGAATGACCAGTGGAGTACTTTCTCGAGAGAATTTCATTACATAGAACATCCATATCAAGAGATCTATTGTTTTCGGATTAACCGTTGGATATCTCTTGATCTTATTATGGGTCCACGGATTGCTGGTGTATTTAGCCATCTTATCACTGAGATTTCACATATAAATAATTAAATGAAGATCCATACAAGCAAAATCCATACGTGAAGTGTGATGTTGGTCTGTGGACGACAATCATCAGCCCATTCTTTGTATAGTCAATTTAGTTTATACTTACCGCATCTTTTTCATATAATATGTATGCGTATGACGTATAAATATATTTCTAGCGCTTGATGCATGTTTTGTACTCACCACATGGCCACACTATAAAAAGGAGAACGGAAAATAATGAGTAGAAACAGGGTTTTGGTATTTGCAGGTGATTTATTCCACCATGAATGTACTATATCCCTCTGATTTCTATTTTCACAAAGCCAAATCACCACAAAACAAATAACCAAGTTTAAGAAATATAAACTATGATTATATATCTTTATTATTAAAGGGTTGTTTGTGGTGGAGGTACAATTAGCGTTATGTAGAAATCAATTTTAAGAAAGAAAACTAGGAAATCGTTGTCGCCATTTGGCTTGATGTGGCCGCGATGCTCCTGCCACAGATGGGTGGTGGCGGGGGGAGAGTATTACATATCAAGTGATATACACCAGAGATGAGGAGAGAGAGTATTATATACAATGCATGTGAAGGAGGGATGCGACCTACATAAACATGTGTCCATACACAAGGGCCGACATACGAGGACAATGATCCTCGTGATATTGATAAAATCATGCGACATTTAGTTTAGAGCATCAGACATGCCTTCTCAGACCGAATCATGATGCCTCCTCTGTTTTTTAGAGCATGAGATAGAATCATGTTCTCAAGTATGAATGGATATTACATGACATCATGTTCGACAAACATTTGTCATTTCAAGCAATTATTTCTCACTATATGTTGTGTTATTCCGTGGCAACGCACGGGCAACCAACTAGTTTGAGTACATGTCAAACAGGGACATCCCATGCACACAATCTGAGTACTTGTCAATATGGAGCATCCTGGGCATACACAAGAGACACAAATACATATCCAGTCATACATTGCATGATAGGATCGTTTCTAGTACATGACCAACAAGACTGGAAATGGACTGAAATGATCACCATTGAACAACCATTGCTATAAAAAATCTACCTCCGGTTATAGTGCTTCTTGCTCATCGAGCTTCATGTGCTGAAAAGATCACACAAAACAAATACGATTCAGTTTGAGCACATGACCATGTTAGTGTTGTACATCTATACTTAAACATTTACTCGTGAACTAATCAAATGAATACCCATAAACAATACATTTCGTTAGCAGGAACAAACCTCTAAATTGAATATAGTCATTTGAACACTTCACATAGCATCATCACTCCACTAACAATAAGAATTGATCAGGTGAAACTTTTGTCGTGTGTATTTTTCTTAGAGCATGTCCATACATCATGGACACCACTCACAAATGCTACATTTGCGTGTGAAGAAGACATTAAAGGTTGCACGCATAGTTTTAAATAGCCGGCTATAGAGCTATAGCCTTTTCGATAGGGTGCGGCTAAATGGTCTTATGTATAAATAACCTGCTATAGTCCGCTATAGCTGATTTTGAGGTCCACCACTATTTGGCATGTCAAACAGGGAAACCCTCGGCCTTGGCGGAGGGCCATGTGGTGTAGCCGCTGTGGCCAGCAACTTCAGAAACAACGTCAGGAGGCCGCTGACCCTTCAGTGTGTCGTGAGGTTGCGGCAGAGAGGATGGGGGTCTGCTTCAACTGCCTGAGGAGGGAGGGTAAGCTGAAGAAAAATTTACATTTTCTAGCGGAGCATGTATGTACAGGGAAAGCATCCATCGTTCAACACTTTTTAGGGATCTTTGCATGTATATGAGCTTTTTGTCATCTTGTCAGGAAAGAGAAAGAGAGAGCGCAGAGAAGGATGGTGCATGCATGTTTTATATCCTTTGTCTCCCATACAAAAAGCAACCCTTTTATTTCACAGTGACATTGTAAATCACTCATATCTTCTAAACCAAAATTCCATCTCCAATCTCATTTTATATTTGAATTCGTGGCGACGAGATCATTAAAACAACATAAAATGTTGATGAATTTTGAAGTTGTTTAGTTTTCGCCATTTCAGTTTCACATTGATAGTCGTGACGTGAAAATTAATTTTCATATTTCAGCCTCACATTAATTAAAATATGTGGAAGATGAAATGGATGTGCAACTGAAATTGGTTTGGAAATTGAAATGGACGCGGTCCGGAAATTTCAATTCCAATTCTATATTTCATTCCCACATTATATATACAGTGGCATTTCAATTGCATGTTTCAGCCTCACATTAATGGAAATGGATGCAGTACATGAAACTGGACTGGAAATTGAAATGGATGCGGTCTAGAAATTTCAATTTCAATTTCACGTTTCAGTCTCACATTATATATACCAATTACATTTCAATCCCTCTGCTGGTACTAGATTTGGCATGCAGGCGGACGGCGTCCGCGAGCCCGCACGCATCCATGAGATGGAAATTAAGCCTAGCACGCTTATTAATCCATCTGCCTGCATCCCTAGTACTCCGTACTAGAATCGGAGGAGGAGGAGACCCTATGAACCTCAGACTCTAGTACTTGTAGAAGAAGATGGTACCACATTGGACAAAACATATAACAAGACCGAGACGGACATGGCTACAGGTATGGCGCAGCCCTAATAAATCATGGCAACCTGTCGACCGCGCCACGACGTAGACGACATTATTACGATATATACGGATCCAAGAGGCATCCCGGCGAGCGGCGCACCGAAAAGATCCACCGTACCAATTCTAACTTGGACAACATGAGCGCCTTGATCAGGAATCTCCGCCCCGCGCTGTCCGGGCTACTGCGGTCCAAGCCCGCTATCCGAACGCCTCTTCCACTGCCGTCGTCGACCGCCCCGTGCCCGCGCTGCTACCACGCGCCGTCGACGCGGCGATCTCACGAGGCCCTGCGATCGCCGCCCCGCCTTGGCCGCCTCTTCCAACGTGACTCTCTCGTCCGTCGACCACCGCCGTCGTCGCCGCATGCGCCAGCGGTCCCACTCCCACGCCCACGGCACTACTCCAGCCGGCCAAGAAGTTCCAGCGACGTGAAATCCCAGATAGTCTTCGCGGGGGTCGTCATCATCGTCGGCGGCGCGGTCACCATCTGCTACGGCACCTTCGAGACCGTGCCCTACACCAACCGCCGCCACTTCGTCGTCCTCACGCACCCGGGGGAGCTCAAGCTCGGCGACTGGATCTTCACCGGCGAGAAGAAGAAGCTGGGCGACAAGGTCCTCCCTCCGTCCCACCCTGCTTTTGTCCGTGTCCACGGCATCGCCTCCGAGATCATCCGCGCCGCCGGACGCAGCCTCGCCGTCCACGATGACAATAAGCTCCTTGACGGTGAAATATGTTAGCACTAATCTTGATATTATTGTATCAGCATTTTAGTTTGGTTTTTCGTCATGCATGTTGCATAGGTTAGAGAGTAGCTAGTCTGGTGATGCTTCAGCGGAGCTTCAATGAAGATGTGTGGAGAAGGCGAGATGCCAGACGGCCGTGAGATACCGCGAGTCCGGCGAGATGCCGATGGCGGCGTGACACCGCGGTGCCGCGCGAGGCGGCAAGGTCGTGTGATACGGCACACACGTAGATGGCTGAAGCAGGACTGGCCGGCTGGACGGTGAGTTAGTTTGCATGAATGGAGTCGTCGTTAGCTGCATGTATGGGTTGGTTAGTGGGCTAGCTAAAAGGTCGGTCATGTAGCCATGCATGCGTTGAGTCTGTTTGTGCATGACCGAGTGTAGGTTAGTTAGCAGGTGATGCATATCCTGGAGAGATTCTAGGAGGAGATGGTGTTATGCCGACGTGTGTAGGATAGTGGCCGAGTGCGTCGGTCAGCCTAGTGTGTGCGTGCGTGAGTTAGTGGCTGGGTGTGAAGTCATTTGTACTGCCTATTTAAGTTCAACAAATGAATGAGAATGAGAGGCCGTGAGGGCTAGAGAAAAACATGTAGCCAAGGTGGTAACCAAGGAAGTGCTTGGGGCAAAGCTGTTCGTCTTCCTTGGTGTATGGCGTGTGTGTGTTGAGTCTTCTCACCGTGTGTGTGTGTAGAGAGAAGAGAGAGACCTCAAAAGAGTTGTGCGAGGCAGCTCGGGGTAGAAGAGGAAGCGGCGCCGCAAGGAGGCGGCGCCAACAATTGGTATCAGAGCCAGGTTGATCCGCGGCGGCGGCGGCGACGTGGTGGACTCCATGGGAGGTGGAGGACGCCGACGCGAGGTGATGGCTGGCGGCGGCGCGATGCCGCGATGACCGGTTGCGGTGCGATGCCGCGAGGTGATCATGGCGTGGTGATCGACGTTGCGAAGGCGCCGTCCACGACAAGAGGTGGCTGCTGCGTGTGGCAGGACGTTCTGGTGATGGGCGCTGCGACGGCGTCAACCACGACAAGACGGTGCACGGTGGTGCGAGGCTGCCACGACGACGGTGCGAGGCCGTTACAAGGAGATGTGGTGCGATGCCGCAAGATGATGATGGTGTGGTGATCGGCGTCGCGAGGACGTCATCACGGACAAGATGGTGACCGGCGCTGTGACGGCGTCGGTGGCGGCGAATGGTCGGCTGCGGTGCTGCGATGGCATCATCAAGTGGTTGCGGGTGATCCGCGTCGAAGAGTATGATATCAAGATTAGGGGGTGAATGTTAGCACTAATCTTGATATTATTGTATCAGCATTTTAGTTTGGTTTTTCGTCATGCATGTTGCATAGGTTAGAGAGTAGCTAGTCTGGTGATGCTTCAGCGGAGCTTCAATGAAGATGTGTGGAGAAGGCGAGATGCCAGACGGCCGTGAGATACCGCGAGTCCGGCGAGATGCCGATGGCGGCGTGACACCGCGGTGCCGCGCGAGGCGGCAAGGTCGTGTGATACGGCACACACGTAGATGGCTGAAGCAGGACTGGCCGGCTGGACGGTGAGTTAGTTTGCATGAATGGAGTCGTCGTTAGCTGCATGTATGGGTTGGTTAGTGGGCTAGCTAAAAGGTCGGTCATGTAGCCATGCATGCGTTGAGTCTGTTTGTGCATGACCGAGTGTAGGTTAGTTAGCAGGTGATGCATATCCTGGAGAGATTCTAGGAGGAGATGGTGTTATGCCGACGTGTGTAGGATAGTGGCCGAGTGCGTCGGTCAGCCTAGTGTGTGCGTGCGTGAGTTAGTGGCTGGGTGTGAAGTCATTTGTACTGCCTATTTAAGTTCAACAAATGAATGAGAATGAGAGGCCGTGAGGGCTAGAGAAAAACATGTAGCCAAGGTGGTAACCAAGGAAGTGCTTGGGGCAAAGCTGTTCGTCTTCCTTGGTGTATGGCGTGTGTGTGTTGAGTCTTTTCACCGTGTGTGTGTGTAGAGAGAAGAGAGAGACCTCAAAAGAGTTGTGCGAGGCAGCTCGGGGTAGAAGAGGAAGCGGCGCCGCAAGGAGGCGGCGCCAACAAAATATGGGTCGGCGACGCGGCGCCGAGCTCCAAGAAGAAGGCTCATACTCGCTGGGGAACGCCGAGGCAGCCGACGACCAAGCACCTCGACGGGTTCAAGTGGGAGGTGATCGTCGTCAACAATAAGCAGGTGAACGCCATGTGCGCGCCCAGTGGCAAGATCATAGTCTACACCGGGCTGCTCGACAAGTTCAGCACCGATGCTGAGATCGCCACGGTGCTAGGGCACGAGGTACGTACGTTAGCTTGCAAAAACATCTTATATTGTGAGATGGAGTACCTCACATTGAGTGGTCGTTTGTATCGCCTCGTATCGGCCGGCGGATTCTCTTGTAACTTGGTTGCCTGTTGCATCTTGTGTAATTTTGTCTGTAGGTTGCGCACGCCATTGCAAGGCACACCGCAGAGGGGCTTACCAAGAACATGTGGATTCTCATGCTCACGGTTTTCCTGGGCATCTTTATCGATGACCCAAAGATGATTGATAAGCTCGCCAAATACCTCCTCAGCCTGCCCTTCTCACGAAAGTATGTACCATGTCGCCTGTTGATTTAGGATTATTATTAACTTCCTTTTAAATGTTGTTCTTCATGCATGATCTTGTACAAGCTAGCTAATGTTACCTACATATAAATGCTATGTAGGATGGAGATAGAGGCAGATCACATTGGAATCCTGCTGCTCGCTGCCGCTGGTTTCGATCCACGCATAGCCCCTAAGGTCCACGAGAAGCTCGGAGAGCTCGGTGGGAATTCATCATCGTTCAAGGAGTACATGTCTACTCATCCTTGCAGCAAGAAAAGAACGCGGCTTTTACTGGATTCCAAGGTCATGGACAAGGTCATGGCGTTATATACAGAAGCAAGAGCGAGAAAAGAAGAAATTGATCAATGATTCTTCATCTTGTATCAAATTAAGACACGGTCTTGACATTTGCTTCCATACACAGCCATCCTTAAATAAAAACTTGTAAAGGGTGATGTTTTTTTGTCCAAACACTTGTTATCTCAAAATAATTGAGTTTATATGAGCAGTTAGGCCTTATCCCTACACAGTGATAACTGTATAGGCACATATATACCTGGTCTGGATATAAGAGCATCTCCAACAGCCGCGCCAAACAAGCGCCGCGCCGCAAATTTGCCCATTTTAGTGCGCGCGCAATCCGTAGAATGGCTCCAGCGGGCGCGCAATAACCGCGCGCGCGGCATATAGAGTTGGGCGCGCGGTCCGAATAGCCATCGCGCGCTGTGTATTTGGGACGCCCGCATCCGCACGCGGCACACACGAGCGCTCGCGCCGCACTCTCTCCACCACGCCACCTTCGCCCCGCACGCGCCGGCGCCAGCAAACTAGACCCGATGAACGCACGCGTCGGCACCCCCCTCACCCTATCCTACAGCCGCGACCCCTCCACCGCCGCCGCAAACCCTAGCGCGGGGAGCATTGGCCTCGCTTAATTGGTATGTGGGACCGGGTGTAAGATGTCGGTGTCCTATATTCGTTACCACTCACTTAATTGGTGATTTTTTTTATGGCGTAGTGCAGTGCATCTACTAATTATGAGTAGTTGACAATGCTATGCATGTCATATGTTTTCGTGGGCAACTTGAACTTCTTGACCCCTGTTGTAGCATCTGCCACCGCCGGTTCCAGCATCCCGTCGCGTACCCAGCGGCCCCGTTGGAGTACCGTGGCCGCCGATGGGTCCCATGTTGCCCCCGAGGGGTCGCCGTAGCAACACCGATGCACTGGTACGGCAAGCACTCTTTTAGGATGCAGCTTCTTCAGAACTTCAGATTGTGTGTGACGTGCCATGGGTATCTCTGAACTTCTTTCTGGAACAATGGGCTTGTCAACTGCATCGAAACCAAACCAAATCAATACGTACATGAGAAGCCACCAAGACACTGGGAATGAACTAGCACTTACAGAGTAGAAACAAGATCACACGGTTGTACCTGATGATACCAAGCCTCTGGTGAAGAAGATGAGATTGCCGAAAAAAGATGCCGGTGTTGGGTGCCTCGACTCGCTGGGAAGTTTTTTCTTTTTTGTTGTGATTTTGGAGATGGATTGGTCTGACTAGTTCAGAAGTGTCGCTGACTGGCTAGCTGTACTCTACTGGGCCAAGTTTTCCATGGTAGTTTGTGGCCTGGAACACTAGTGTGTACAAGTCAGCAAGTCTCTGCGGGCTCGTCATGTGGTCTACCTCTTACGACCCTTTCCCTGTTAGCCAGGAAATGATGTGCTCCAGTCAGCAGAAATCATTTAAGGCAGCAAGGAGGGGCATCACAATCATGCTTGACAGGTCCGAGCCTGCACTGGTATAACAAGTACAGTATGTTAGGATGCAGCTTCTTCAGAACTTCAGTTTGTGCCTGCCGTCTCCATGCCGTGGGTATCTCTGAACTTCTTTCTGCAACAACGGACAACTAACTCTGAACTTGTCAACTGCGTTGAAACCAAACCAAATCAACACATGTTTGATGAAGCTTTCATCTGTGAGGATGACGTGTGGGATCAGGAGCAACATGTCTCTGGATGATGGTGTCATATATTCACACACACTTAATTGGCGATCGATCATTTTTTGTGACGCAGTACGTCTACTTAGGTGGCAATGCCACGAATCTTTGTGCCATATTAATCCCATGTTTATGTTGAACAAATATATACGCACACACAGATTCGTCCCTGAGTGTTCAGGATATAGATATGAGCTGAATTTCATATGTGTGACAAGTATATTAGGAGTATGTCACAGTGTTAATTTTTGTAATAGTTGTACATGCAGCATTGCTACCGACCCAGTATGCAGCGTAATTCTTCAACTTTTCCTGTGAGGGAATTCTATGATTATTTCAGCAGCAAATATTGCTTGTAACTCGAGTGATCATACCCTTTTTTTTCTTAGAACTAGTGATCATCATATTTTTCTGGAAATAATATCTACTGTGGTGGTCAAAAGAATTAGCGAGTTTTATTTTTCTTCTGAGGGAAATTGAGTGATCCTTTTTTTAGGGAAATTGAGTGATCATATTAGTTTTTTGAGCGAAATTGAGTGATCATATTCGTTTTTTAAGTGATCATCATTTTCTTAGAACTAGTGATCATCATTTTTCTTCTGAGGGAAATTGAGCGATCATATTAGTTTTTGGCTACAGCTACGCGTAAACCGGCTGATGATAGGAGTTTTTAAACCGCCTTGCCAACCGTTGATCTGCGTTAATTTAGGCCGCTTGATCCCTGAACGATAACATCACTTCCATCGCAACAAAGCCTATATCTCTCCAGCACCGATGGATGCATCCTTGCTCCCCGCACAATGAGCTTCAGTTGGGCAGTTGGCCGACATGCACTAGCCGTAGCGCTCAGGTAGCAGCAGCCGCGTCACCTGTCATCTCACGCCAAAAGCACCGACGAGCTCACCATGCACGGGCCACGGCAGCAGCAATGTCACTGCTGTGACCACCCATTGAAGCACCGGCGAAGCTCCATTGAAGCACCGACAATGCTTCGGCGGGCCGGCAATGCTCCAACACAGCACCGGCGATGCTTCGTTGCAGCACCGGCGAAGCTCCGGCGGCCCCGACGATGCTTCATTGCAGCTCCGGCGAGGTTTCGGCGGCCCGATGATGTTCCATTGCAGCACCCGTGAAGTTCCGGCGGCCGACGATGCTCTATGGCAGCACCGGTGATGCTCCGGCCGCCGACGATGCTCTATCGCAGCACCCGCGATGCTCCGGCAGCCCCGACGATGCTTCATTGCAGCGACGGCAAAGGTTTTGACGGCCTAATGATGCTTCATTGCGGCACCCGTGAGTTTCCGGCGGGCGACAATGCTCTATCACAGCACAGGTGATGCTTCGACGGCTGACGATGCTCTATCGCAGCTCCCGCGATGCTCTGGCAGCCCCGACGATGCTTCATTGCAGTGCCGACAAAGGTTTCGACGGCCTAATGATGCTTCATTGCGGCACCCGTGAGTTTCCGGCGGGCGACGTTGCTCTATGGCAGCACCGTTGATGCTCCGGCTGCCGCCGATGCTCTATCGCAGCACCCGCGATGCTCCGGCAGCCTTGACGATGCTTCATGGCAGCGCCGGCTGCTGCAATAGGGTGGGTGGTCGCATCACCGGCTGCTGCAAAAGCCCAACGGCATGCCCTGCTGCACAGCACCGCACCGCTGCGTCGATGTGGTGCAGCTCCTCATTACAACCAGAGATTACACCATGCGCTGTGAGCGGCACCTTGCGACACCGCCGTCGTCTACAGCACCGGCGGCCTCTATCCCCGTGGCCCCCGTAGCACCCTGACCATGAACATCATTGCCGTTTCGCGGCAAAGAGCTCGCCGTCCCTATGGTCGAATAGCAGGTCGTCGCAGTGCAGCGCTGCCCCTTGCAGCAGCAGTAGCAACTCCACCGGCCGGAGTGAGATACGGGAGGAAAGGACGGGATGCTCTTCGGGAGAGAGCAGAGCAAAGTTGCAAAGGATCTGCGAAGAGAGCAGCAGCAAGATTTTCCTGATCTAGTTCAGAGGAAGAGGACGACTCGAGAAGAAAGGGATAAGGCTGCGGGATGGATGGCCTGGCTACGAGGACGCGTGTCAATCCCTCGAGGCGGTTTACGCGTGCGTTAAATCAGTCGTTGAGACTAGCCACAACAATAATGCTAAACATACAAAGAGTTACACGCACTTACACACTGACTAGGATTTTTTCTTTCTAACTAAGCACTCCTCCCCTGATTTTCATGCGGGTGGGCCCCTCCTCCCCTTAACCTCCAATAACATGTTACTAGTCTATGTTACTCCCTCCGATCCTTTTTTCTTTGCGTTCTATGCTCAACCCGCATACCAAGGAGAGGAGAAAGGCATTTATTCTCGTGCCCACGTACTCCTCTCTCTCCATCTCTCTGCATGCGCATCTCTCTCTCCTTGCATGCATCTCTCTCTGCATGCGCTCTCTCTCTCTTGATATGCATGCACGCGTCTCTCTCTATGCAAAATCTTCTCAGCATCCGCGCCAATCTCTCACCCATTGCATGGCCTATGAGCCTATGAACCGGAAGAGCAGCAGGCGCTTGAAGCCGGAGGAATTGGAGCCAAAAAATTTCGTTTGGTTTGAGTATGAAATCTTTGCGCCAAGAATTCTAGCTCCCTCCTAAACTGAACAGCCCGCCATAGATTAGCAGCTCTAGATTTAGCTTGGCGCCAATGCTTTTGAAACTCAAAAATCCTGCCTATAAAACTCAGGCCCCGCCATGAAGCAAACCACACAAAAATTTCACTTCCCTCTCTTTGCTCCTCTCTCTTTCTTGCCACGGGAATGCAATGGCTACTTTCGACCTCAATACGGCCATCAATTGGGACGAGGTGGAGGATCAATACGATGGCCATGCGGAGGACATGAACTACGTCTACGTATTCGAGGAGAGCGACGGCGGTATGAACTCATTCTTGTTGTTTGATTTTACTCTGGTTATTTTGCTCTGTTTGATCTCTTTTGAATGTGTACAGAAGATGAAGCCGCCCAGTAGAACAATGGCGGATTCGGAAGCGGCGGAAACAACCCTTCGCACGACACGGAGGACCCAGGAGGAAGCTGCGACAACGGAAACAACAACCAGTGCACCATGGAGGCGCAAGGAGAAAGTGGCGGTGCTGGTCCGAACCGCACAGACCGGGTACACGGCGCGGACGCTGACGGCGGCAGTGGCGGCGTTGGTCTTAGCCGCACCGACCGCATGCACGAGGATGACCCGTCCAGCGGAGGAAGCACCTTGCAAACGAGTTGAATGTGTCCAAAACCACGGTTTGGAGGAGGTTGAAAGAGAAGCAGATTAGGCGTCACACTAATGCCATCAAGGGAACTCTCACCGATCTGAACAAG